GAGAGAGAGAGAGAGAGAGAGAGAGAGAGAGAGAGAGAGAGAGAGCAGGTTGCAATTTCAAACAACTGCCCTTATTATTCTCTACATTGTCAATAGGAAGAGAGAGGAGGAGAGCAAATTACATAAGAATGGGCAGAAAAAAAGAAAGAGGGAGACAGAAAGCTAATGAGAGAAAATGGAATAACAAAACAGGTTGATAGATATGTTAACAACAATTAAGAAGAAAAAGTTGTGGCGCAGGACAGATAGAGAGGCTCTGGATATGTTAAACTGACTCGACTAGTGAAGGAATAAAAAAAAAATACTCACTTTGTTGAATAGCCCTTCCATTTGACTAGAAATTCAACTTTTCCCTGAAATAGAAATAAAAAGTATAAAGAAATGTTCAATATTGCCGGTTTATTTTGTATTGATATCTATACATAGGACAAAGAAAAGAACCTCAAAGCTAGTCATCTCTGTAGCAATTATATTCAAAATATAATGTCACAAGAAAAGGTTTAGATAAAGTGGTCCTGGCTGAAGATGGAGTTCAGAGAGTGCAGACACTCACCATCTCAACTGTTTTGTCAGGCTCAAGTAAGGAGGAGACAATTGAGACAATAATAGTCTCCTAGTTCAAGGCACAAGACAAGTACAAAAAAAGACATAGGACCTCCCAGTAGTGCCTTGAATCTCTATCTACTTCTGGACGGTTGAGCAATTTGGAATCAAAACGAGATATAAGATAACTGTTTTCTACTGTGTTGTAATTGTAGAGAGTACACAGAAAATAAAAGTACCTGACGCATAGAAACCTCTTGCGTCAATTGTCGTCTTTTCTACCCCTGAGTAAACTCAACTCATCCAGTTTACAGAATCCTCTACTCTAATAATAATTTTTGTTGTGACGTAAGGCAGAAACATCGGAGTAAACTAATCTACAGTTCCTTCTTTCCGCATTTACCAACAGTTCCTTCTTTCCGCATTTACCAAAGTAACATACCTCTCTCAAGCAATCATTCGCAGTTAATACGTTTCATTGTTAAAAATATCTCTCGAGCAATCATTCGCAGTTACAAACGTTCAGTGTTAAAAACATAAGTCATTAAATGTTTCATGTTGCCCTATCTAATTTCTGTTGACATCATAAAAGAGCAGTCTTGGGTGCAAAAGCAGGGTTTACTATTGCACAAAGGTATGCATTAAGGGAGTTACACACAGGTATATAAATGTTCCAAACATTGAACAATACAGGAAATGGGGAAAAGAGAAGAAATAAAGGGGAAAAGAGAAGAAATAAAGATGATATAAGTTTTTATCCCATAGATAATAACGCCTCCTTACCCAAACTTACCTTTTGTTATAAGTTACTCATTCGTATCCAACACCAAAGTTATAAGGGCCTAAAACTATGGGTGCAGACTTGCATTCAGGCAATAGGAAGAGAGGCAGAAAGAGATCAGGGAAGAAGGTGCAAGACACAGCGGGAGAGAAAGAGCAATGACGGTGCTTACAAGGGAGCGAAAGTGAAAGACTGATAGTGATAAAGGGTGCCAGGAAAGAGAGTGAATGAGTGAGCGAGAGAGAGAGAGGGGGGGAGAGGGAAG